AAATTTTATTTTTAATATAAGATCCTATTTATTTTAAAAAATTAAATATAAATTAAAAGTTAATGTAAAATATATTTGGGCAATTTTTTAATATATATTAATTTTTTTAATAAAAAAATTATAAAAAATTTTTATTTATAGTTATACTTATTTTTACATATTAATTTAAAATAATATTTTTTTATACAAATAAAATTTTTTTTATAATATAAAAAAATTTTATAATATGTTTGGGTTGAGAAAGATGTAGATATAACACCATTACTGACAAATCTTATATCACCGACTAAATATCATCGACATGAGAGTTTTTGTCGGTCAGTAACGATTTTACCAGCAAAGAATATGTCTTTACTATGTAAAACTGTAAAATTTACATTAATTAATGTTATTTCGAGTACAGATGAAAACTTCATCGGTAACTTCATCCTACAGAAACGTGAAGTTTGTCGGTGATGAGGTTTCCTCTTACCGACGAAGCTGGCATTAGAAATTAATAACCTACTGCAACTTGCACCTTCTCGGTAACATTCCAGCACCATTTCTGCTCCAACTGGGCCTAGTGAAGTCAAGGAACCTACAGCTTTTGTGTGTACCAACTAAACTTTGTCAATAAAATGCCTTTTCTGCAACCATCATCTTCTCGGTGATGGCTCTGGCGAACCAGCCCTCTGATGCAGTGTAGGAGGTGCTTAGCTTTATCACTTACCAATGTGTAGCTCGTTGGTAAGTGATCAACCTTCCTCCTCATCTTGTCGATCCCCCCCTTCCCCTCTCATTCTCGTTTTCCTCTTCTAACTATGTTTCCCTTTCCTCCATTATTACCAGCAAGCCAAATCGTGAGAGATTAAAGTTTTTTCTTCCCACAGTATGTAGATAGAGAAGTGGTAAGTGAAGTTTAACTAATATTATCATTTTTTATTTATTTTTCTGTTGAGTCTAAATGTTTTATGTATTTTTTATATTTTTTTTATAGTTTAGACATAAAATATTGTGATTAATTTATTTGATATTAACATTGTCAAATTTGTTATTTTTGGTAAATTTTATAGATGTTTAGTAAGAATTTTCTAGTAATTTTTCGGTGAAATTCTAATGATTAATCATGAAATTCCAGTGAACTTTCCAACAAGCCTTTTGTTGGTAATGTTGATGGTAGGAACATGAAATTTTTGCTTTTCACTTGCCAACATAGATTTTGTCAGTAAATGATGGAGGGAACTACAAAATTTTTGCATTTTGACTTTCCAACAAGCATCTTGTCAGTAAACTAAAAGCGGGATTACAAAATTTTTGTATTTTTCTTTTCCCGCTAAAATTTATTTGTTTCTTATGTGCATTATGCCAGTAAAAAAAATTCTGACTAACAGTATATAGGTAAAATACTTTATATATTATCAGGACAACATAACTTGCTCATTTTTTCTTTCCTTTTTCTTCTTCGTCTTTCTTCTCCTCCCTTATCTGTCTCTCCTCCTTTCTTGTCCATCAAAATGCTACTGAATTTGTTCTCATTTATACGTATGCTGTATTCATGTTATTATTTATTTATATCTTCTCAATCTCCTCTCTTTTTCTTTTCTATTCTTTATTTCTAATTGGCTAAACATTAATTTGGGTTATTGATTAATTTAATTACAATTCTAAGTTTTTAAAATATTGTTTTTGTAGGAAACATTATTGCGGGATAAACATTAAGTAAATAAATTTTATTTATGTATACTAAAATTTAATTTCAATTATATTTTGATTATTATTATTTGGTTGAAATTATATATAAATATTATATTAATTTATATTTTATCACTTTATTTTTTTTGTAGAAAATGGTGCTCTATAAATATCTACTCTCTAATTGAGGTAATTTTAAAATTTTTTATTATACTATTCAATTATATATACCAATGTTATTTTTTGTTGGTAACCACAATTCTTTTTGTTGTTGTAGAATTCCTACAAAAACTTCATATTCATCCATAAATTAGTGATCTTGGAGTATTTTATTGGTTGTGGAAAAATAAAGGCCCGATTGTTACCTTGTCTGTAAAATAGTGAGATATACTATAAAAAAATATATATATTACAAAAGTCAGCTTAGTCGGTAATTTACTGACATGAGAAGTCCCTTACAATACTATTCCGGTAAGACAGTTGCAGACAACACTCTTGTTGGTAATTGATCTTATTTTACCGACGTGAGAAGCGCTCTGAGAGTACTATTCCGACTAGAGGGTTAGAGACATGCTTTTAGTTGATAATTTCTAGTGATTTACCGATGTGACTTAAAGCCATATTGGTAAATGAATTATCGAGCTCACTTTCACCGACCAAGTCATTTCTGACATGATCCAAGTTGAAACCCTATTTTACCAACCTGATTACCTTTCTTTCCAACATGATTTCTCATCAATGAAATTATGAATTCTAGTAGTGCACCAAGAATCCGACATCAATGGGGACTTGAACTTGGTATATAATTATGAAAATTAACCATTATTAATAATTTAAACTTGAACTTTTGAGAGCCCATGAAATTTGCCTCAAAGAGTTGCTAGGTCAGTGGCAGATTTCAAACCAGGTCGTTTTAGGAGGGGAGGGAAGATTTTTTGATGAATCAAATTATAATGTTTTTTAAATATTGCAATTTGATTGGTCAAAATTTTTTCCCTTCCTTTCAACCCAAACATATTATTAATTAAACATTTGAAATGGAAATGAGAAATACTAATATCTTAAAAAAGAAGAAGTTATTACTTATTTTTTTCTTCTTCTTTTTGAGAAAAAATGATAAAATTATATTAGTACAAAAAAGAGAGTTCATTAGGGTTGTTTTAGAAAGTGAACTCCTAGTACATAAATAAGATAACATGCAACCACAAGAAATAAATATTTATTAAAAATAAAAAAAAAAAGTTAAAAAAGGTGATATTCCTATCTTGAGAAGTTGGTTTGTAATATCCCAAATTTTTGGGAATTTTATCATTTAAGTTAAGGACTAAATTGTGGAAAAAGATTGTTTTAGTGCTTAATGGCAAAATGTTCAAAAGTGGACTTAAAAGAGGAAAATAATTGGATAAGGATCAGCTTCCTTCTTTTTCTTTTCTTCTTCCCCGCGTGCTTCTGCTCTTCCCGACCCTACTGCAACCCGAGAGAAAAAAAAAAAAAGAAGGAACCAAGCAAGCCGCCGGCACCAACCTTGAGAAACCGGTGAGAAAGCTTGGATTTCTCCTTCCTTTCTTGTTCTAGAACCCAGAAATCCTTCCCCCCATCTGCAGAATTTCGGATCTGCCTTG